AGTCAAAACACTATATTTGCCTATTTCTCCATATACCACTTTTGGACTAAATCCTCGTTTCGATGTGATGGCTCACATACTATATTATCTATTTTATTTATTTACATAGACATTCATTTCACAATATTTCATTCATGTATTTCATTATGAACACTTTGGTGTTCCATACTGCTCGATGGTGATCGATGGGTTGATGAACTTTGTTCTCAGGAATCAGCATTACTGTTGTCACWACCTCACTCTGAGGTACAGAGGTGGGGAGTTTCAGCCCCACACCACCTCTGTGTGTCTTCTGGATGGACCATGATGGTCAGAACATGATTCAGTAACGGCACGGGGCATCATCTGAAAACAGTCTGATGCAAACGTCCACATTTTTACACATCGCTGATCATAAAGTGTGTAATATCCACAATTCAGGCCCCCCAACGTCATGAGTACACTGCCACTGAAGCCCACCTACGCTCCAACCAGGACCTGAACAAACTGACATCATGAAGATGAAACCCCACCACCTCATACAGAAATGTTGTCATACTGCAGACCACTGTGGACCTCCAGGACCACATTTATCATGTTTCAGTAACCTGACAGCGTCTTTAGCGCCCAAAGACCACCACAAACATCCTCCATGTTCAGGCAGGGCTGTCATCCTGAGTGAAGGGGCCTTGGTAAAAAAAAAGAAACAATGGCAAATACAGGTTCAACCCTACAGCTTGYAGGTTCCAAGACTTTATTTTTTCATTTTCAGTATGTCTGCGTGTTCTCTGTGAAAGGACATCCTGCTGAACGGAGTCAGGTTGAGCGCTAAAACATCAAAGATGCCTGAAGGGGACTTAGCACCTTCCCATGGACACAACCAGCATTGTTCTTCAATTAATCCCAGCCTGCTCTATTACTTTCAGATTATCTTTAAGTGGGCAAAGTCTTTGTGAGGCATTGAGACTCTCCCTAATCTCCCCCCTCCCAACACCTCTTTGGTAGTTGTGCTATCTTGTCGGCGGTGGAGATGGCAGAGGCTTATGAAGGCTCTTAGAAGGTGGTCTGTCATGGCCGCAGGACTCTGTGAGAACTGTGACACAAGGGGAGGGACAACAAACATCAGCTCAAATCTCTTAAGCGCACGGGARGGGGGGCAAATAAAAGGATTTAGGTTGTCGGGGGAGGGGGGCGCAGGAGCTAAAAAGCTATCTTTCATAATCCTTTTGATAGTGGACCTTTGAAACGATGTGCATGTTTTAACAGAAGCATTAAGGAGCCAAGGAGAGAATCAGAGTGGAATGAGCTCGAGGAAGTTACAAAAGCAAAGTGTTGGAGTGAGGAGAGACTGCTGGTAGGTGAAGGAACTCGTTCAAAGTGAAACCCTGTTTCCAACAGGTGGGGTGTTATTACTCACCCCCTGAGAGCCGCCGTCACAGCCAGGAGCATCATCATCATCATCATCATCATCATCATCATCATCATAGCAAGACAAAGACACACTTCAGGTCACACACACCAAGAAACGGGAAAACATCTAATACACAACCAATATTCACTTTTTAAATAATAAAAAATACTCACCGAGGTGAAGTCCTGGTTTCAAAACAACAAAACAGACAGAATTTATTGATCAGTAAATCTATACGCAGATGYTCACAGCATCATTATGTTAAAAGCTCCAAGTCTAGTTTTTCAACGTGTACGTCAACAAATATTACATTTTATTACAGCTCGACTGGAACTTTTCCAGTTCTGGCTATATACACATACACAC